TCAGTTCAAACTATAGATTTGTGATTTCCTACCTCCCTCCCTAACCAAAATTTCAAAGGAAAAATAGCTCTGGCAGTTGATTCTCCATGGAGTTGAAAAAACTAAATAAATAACATCTTTTTGCAAGAAAACTATATACATTAAAATATATACATTTTCGTCATTTAAAAGAAAAGAAAATATAGAATTAAAAGTATAAAAAATTACAAGCTCTCCCAAAAAAAATTACATATTTTTAGCTAATTAGAAAATTATATACATTTTTGTCATTTAAAAGAAAATAAAATATTGAATTAAAAGTATAAAATATATTTTGATCATTTAAATCTAAGATAAAAATTTGGACATGATCAGTTTAAAACAAACTTTCCATTTAAACAGGAGAAATAATTTTTTCCCAACAAAAAAAAATCCTTATCATTTTTTATATTAGCATGAGAAAAGTATTCTTTGCAGTACATTCAGCTGATGTTTAGTAAATGGAATGTGAGATTCTCATGTTGCAACAACTTCATTAATCTCAAGTCTCAAATTTATACAAATATTGCTAACAACACATTACATTATAGTGCATTATACTAATCTATAATAAAAGAAGTTGGAGTAAGGAAAGAACCGAAGCAAAGAGGACATCATGTAGAAATGATGGCGGGTAAAATGGTAATTTCATCTCAAGTACAATGGACTTCATTCCACTCTCTATTATATCTCTCTTTATCTTATTCACACTCTTCTCTTTCCACTTCACCTTTCTCTCATTTAGATGTAAAGCAGCTTATCAAAAAATCTAAGAAGAAATAATTTTTATATTTAAATATTTTTGTAAATAAAATTCTTACTGATTAAGATTAAACATATACATATTGTAATATTTTAGTGATTTACTGAAAAGCCGTTGTTGGTAATTGGAGATGATAAAAATTATTAACGAATGAATTTACATAAAACATTTAGTTATAATTATAAACTAGATAGGTAATATGATACACATACTTATGACCATATTTTTATTATATACGTTTTTTTTCAAGAAATCAAATTTGAATGGTATATAGCAGCAACAATTAGTCGAACTTGGAATGAATGTGACATTATCCAAATAAGGGCCGTGGTAAAATTGTAATGCCCGATTTTCATAGGTTAAATGAAATCCTCAAAATTCTGTCATAAAAACATTTAATAATTTAATTACTTGTTAGAAAACATTTTTACAATGAATTTATAACTAAAATTACATAAGATAATTATATCATCATAAAAATTTAAAATTGCACAATAGAAAGCTGTTTAAATAGCAAGCTAATGTTTCTTGCATCTGCATATGCACGTGGCAATATTAATATGCTAGAACCCAGTAAATGTGCAGGCCTGTAAGATGATACTCAGAATAAGTTACATAAAGAATAGCTTCAGATATAAGAAGTTTAACATAGACAAATGAACTTTCTAGTTAAGAAAACTGCAAATCCTTATTTTAGTGCAACGAATGAAATTGAGAAATTTCAATTTCATGTGAATTGAAAGTTACCACTTACCTGATAAAAAAGTTATAAAAATGTAAAGGTGGATATCACTCAATGCATGTGCCAATATGCTAATACGTAGTAAACACACAAGCCTATCAGATGATACTCACAGGATCTGTTACATTAAGAATAGCTTCGATAAAAAGAAGGATTTTAACATGAACTAATAAAGTTTTTAGTGAAGAAAAACAATTCCTTGTTTTAGCTTAATATATGAAATTGAGAAATATATCCATTTGAATTGGAATTCACCACTTTCCCGATAAAAATGTAGAAGTGGATGCCACTCTCACGACAAGTAAAATCCAACTTAAGGGAATCTAGCGTGAGGATCATGTTGGCAACAACCTAGACTCCATTCCCAATTACATCCAACCAAGTGCAGGAATCTAAACCCAATATATTTTAGCATTGTGACCAAATAAAGCGAATTGAAATTGCAAATTCTTGATCCTTGCTTCTATAAACTTAAAGATATCATGGAACTCAAACTCCTATATACCTAAATCGGCCAAATTTCAAAACTTCTCAGATGTAGCAAAGCGGAATCAATGTAGCAGAGCGGAATCAAGCAATCAAAAGTATAACACCAAAGCTTATTAAAATATTTGTGTATTCTAACTGAAAGAAAGAAGAAGAAAAAAGGAAAAACTGAAGATACAGCAGCAGGAAGAAGAATCTAAAGGGAACTTCTATTTATTTCATGAATATTCCAATGTACCATAGTTTAAGATAGTATACCAGATTATAGACTTGTAGATTCGAATGTACCTATTCATACACTGTACATCATCTGAGTCTCAGACCAATACAAGGCAAGACGCAAGTATATTGTACTTAATGTATTAAGCCTGGTGTATGAACTATAGCAAATCAGCAATAATCATCAATGTCACAAAACCAATTGTAATTGAATTACAGCTAACAGAGCCTGGGGCAAATTTCGTTTGACGTGCCCAAGATAATAATTACCTATTACATGATATATTTCACAGCCATGTGTTAATTGAATCTTTTTCTTACTAGTTTCAACTTTAAAATGTATGAACATCAAAATCAAATAAATCACACAGTAAAGCGTACAGGAAGAGAAATACAAAATTCTTACAGTCTTGGGTTGTTGGCCAAGTCCTTCTTTGGAAAAGGCTTTCGTTTTTGTCTCCTTCTCACAGACTTTAAATCTTTCCATTTCACGCTCAATAAGCTTTCGGGCATCCATGAGAGCCTGTTCACAAGAGGTACCAACCTATGTCAACATATATCAACAGTTGATTGTCAAAATAAGAATCACAAAAATGCGTACTTGTTGGGAACAATGGGTAAGCTGCATCAGTTTAAGCCTTACCAATTAACACAGTTAATAAGACAACGAAAGCAAACTTAACTATCCATGAAAGTTGGGTCCAAAAAAAATTTAAATGCAAACAATAATAGGGCTTCATTTCATCAAGAAGAATGTACCTTATTTTGTGTTCGATTATCTGGACCAACTGATATAACCATGATAAAGGTGTATCAAAGGAATAGTTTTAGAAGAAGCCTTTAACGAGGATCTGAACCAAGGCATACCCCTTTAAGTTACAATTAAATTTAGCCAGTGTTTGGAAAGTAGGTCGGCCACCTGCCTAGGCAGCCTTCAACACCAAGTGTCCCCAGGCCACTAAATGAGCCCCAGGTTCCCCTAATTAGGGATAAACAAGATTTTAAATGTCGGCCGATATGTCCGCGGATAAGCAAGGTTTTAAATGTCGGCCGACATGTCGGACATGTCGGTTTGAGGACTTGAACGACACGACATGGGCGTTTTCAACTCGTATGTCGGTTTTCAGGGACAAAACGGAAATACCAAGGCCATATTGGGCATATCGACCGATTTTTAAGCCTTGAAAAATCGGCCGATATGGCCCTTCTTTTTCAAGATCTGTTTTTTGTTATCGGGTTTGGGTTTAGTGATAAAAACCCAAGCCCGTTTGACCCGTTCTCATGTTTAAGGGTTTCTTATGAACCCGATAGAAATAAAAGAGAAAAATTAGGGCTACAACGGACTTGGGAACCGATCACTCCTTTTGTGAACGACGACGCCCTTCCCCCACCTCCATCTCGGACCTCGTCGTCCATCTCCCGTTGCGCCTCAAAATTCGAACCCTAACCGAACCCGATGATGGCAGGGTATCCCGTCGTCGGGATAAAGGAAAGATGGTGGTCGGTGACTCATCCGAAGGACCCTAAGTAGACGAAGAAGAATAAGAAGAGCCCCGACATTGCCTACCTGCGACGTCCCGTCGTCGGCACTGCCTTCCTGCGATGTCGGAATCCACTCATCGTCGGTGCCGCCTCTAGAATTTATAAAATATGCTTATATTGAATTTAGGAATACTTAGATTATATTTTGGACATGATATTATACATATGCGCACCACCCGATATGACAATCTGATATTTAGTCCATGTCCCCCGATATATCCCCGATTTTCGCTATTCGACATTGATTTCAGCCGTCCGACATGAACCCGACATCCGACATTTAAAACCTTGGGGATAAGAACAGCCAAAGCAGGCTCCTCCATGTCAAAATATGCAGCCCACTTAAGTGAACCTCTTGGTTGATTAAAAAGAGTCGAACCCACTGCCCAATTGATAGAAGGAAAAAAAACCCCGGATTTAGAGTAAGGTAGAGCTCAATTGATGCCTCTCCTTCTCTTGATGCATCTTCACCTCTGCCCCTCTCTCTGGTTCAATACATCAAAATCCAAATCTTTAAGTTATTTGGAGAATCAGTATCTGCACCTAAAACTAGCATGATAGATGTTGTTCTGATGCTCTGCTGATGACCATTGTTGAGGCCTTCTTTGCTGGTTTCAATCATTTATGGATTTGTTTCAGATACTCATGCATTTTAAATTGTTCTTAATTTCAATTTTGATAAAATTATGATACTTATTGTTTACTTTCAGTTTCACTCAATTTTCATAAATGAGGATGATGAAACTTGCAACATATTCAGGTTTTAATTACGACTAGTGAATATTTTACTTGTACTTTCATAGTGTAAATGAGACTACTCAAAATAAAAATCAATTTGTTTCTGAAACCAGGAAACTTTGAGTGTGCATTAACTTTGTTTGGATGCTATTTTTTGTTAAGTATTTTATTTTAAAAACATTGTAATTGATTATTAATTTAGGTATTTCACACTTTTATTAAGACATGAAGATTTACAAAGAAGGGTGCCGATGATGTGGAAGTATCATCCCATTTTAGTTGGTTTAGTACTAATATTATTCCAATAAATGTTGAGAAGTAGTGAAATACCACCGGTTAGGAATTTGGATTCTATCTGGAACAATCAAATTGAAATCAGTTCAGTACAAACTTGTGAACACATGATGAGCTGAGGCTAAATAGATGTGAAGTATCTTGCCAGAATGAAAGAGGATACGAAGAAGTGAAAGAAATATTCAAAAGAAAAAACAAAGGAACAAGCATGTGATGCAATTTTGAAGAAGATGGTCAAGGAAAGTTATACAATGGATTTTTATGATGAAATGCAAATCAAGCATAAAAGTCGAAGACATAGTTTGTCCAGACATCAAATCTCAATCATCCAAGAGATAGAGCCTAAGTCCATGGATAATTACAACACAAGTGATTCAGAGCTACCAAAGCAGTAAAAAAGAAAAAATAAAGCAGATCATCATCAAGAATGCACCGATTAAGGACAGAGAAATTGTGCTACTTGAGAATATGATAATGTCATAGTTTATCATAGCATATCTATGGCTTCATTTGCAAATGCATGAAAAAATATGGCCCGCATATATAAGCCTCTGCCTATTATGGATATGATAATGCAGAGCGGAATATGTACAAGAAAGGCGTCTTCTTGACCAATCAATATCATTTATTAAGTTTATCTATGTATCTCAACTATTTCATGTTCTAACTGTACATCATGAGAAGGCCATTTGTCTAAATGATAGATAAGAAATCTATGTTTTCCTATTGAACTAAATTTTACTGTCTCGGATTTTTCTGTAATTTTTTCTCAATTCCGTATTCTTCTACTTTTCTGTATTTTCATAGTTTTTAGCACCAATTAAGGAAGAAATTGCAAAAGGACTGGACACCTGGGTGTTGATCTAGCAGTCAGAAGCTCCCAGTGCAACCATTTACTACTTCAAAACATGGGTGTGCTTATATACAAATTTAAAACATGAGTTGAAGGTTTTACCTTCTTTATAGTGTAAGACAATATTCCATGCAATTGTAAAAGAAACTTTGACTTATAGACACAAAAAATGGTGTGAATCACAACAACCCATACATCTATTCGTACTTCTGTACAATATCAATACCAATAATCTATAGAGTATAGAATGTATCTATACCATACACTAATACAAAAACCATAGATTGCACTTGGCAAACTTTTACAGAATTGACCTTTGAACTTCTCTTTATTAATTATTTATTTTTTTCCACAAGCTACTTTCTTTTTCTCTTTCCTTTATTGTTATAATTATTTGAATACTTAGACTTCATTATTGTAATAATTCATTGACGTTATTATTATTTTACCAATATTTATATGGAGAATTCTTTGAAAGAGACCCATTTTGGAAAATATTTAGCAAAAACGATATTTTTACTAAATATTTAGCAAAATCGACCTCTTTTTTGCCAGCTCACCAAGGCTGACCAAAAAAATGTTGATTTTCCAAAATGTGGACTTGAAAACACATGGGACTACTAGTCCCCTGTGTTTAGGGCTAGCTAATCAGTCACTAAATACACCGCAGAAATCTCACAAGACTAGTAGTCTTGTGAGTTAAACAGAAACTTATGCCCAGCTCAAAAAATATACGGGACTACTAGTCTCATGTGTTAAACAGAAACTAGTGCTAGGTTTTATCGACCCAGCAAATACACGGGGCTAGAAGTCTCATGTATTTGTCGGGCCTTTACAAACCCAAGAGTGCCCAAAAATTAGGGCATAGACGCTGTCCAGATCTCTCTCCCCATTCTCTTCTTCAAATCACTCCCTAGATCTCCCTCAACTCTCTCCCGATCTCTCGCCCCACCCGGTCATCCTCTCCCACATCACCTCCTTCCCCCTCAAATTTCCCTCTCTCCTTCTTTCCAAACCCAAACCAAGTCTCTTCCCCAAAATTTCTCTCTTGATTCACTTCAGCATTGTTGAACTCCGACACTATCTAACCTCTCCGACGCCGATGAACTTCAACTCTTCATTAAGGTAAAGTTTTCTAATTTTGTATAATTTTCTCTCTAATTTTTAGTTACACTTGTAGTCTGAAAACAACCCTATATTTAGAATAATTTATTTTCAATTTTGATAAATTATATGCTTTGGTTAAAATTTGATAGATGAAATTTGATATAGAGGGTCTTTCAACTATGATTTAACTAGAAATAAGATACATAAATTTTAATTTATAACTAATATAGATAATTTGCATATGATGAATGTTAATATTTCAGTTCTGATGGCGAATGAAATACCCGTTATGCTTCTTCAATAAAACTCAGCGCTAGTCTCTGTTTAACACAGAGCTAGTAGTCTCATGTTAATATTTTAGTTCCGATGGCGAACAGAATACCCGTTATGCTTCTTCGATAAAACCCAGCACTAGTCCCGTGAGACTACGATGTATTTAGTGACTAATTAGCCAGCCCTAAACACACGAGACTAGTAGTCCTGTGTGTTTTCAAGACCACATTTTGAAAAGTCGACGTTTTTTTTACCAGCCTTTGTGAGGTGGCTAAAAAAAGATCGATTTTGCTAAATATTTAGCAAAAACGAGCTGGCTAAAAAGAGATCAATTTTACTAAATATTTAGCAAAAACGTCGTTTTTGCTAAATATTTTCCAAAATGGGTCTCTTTAAAAAAAATTCTCCATATTTATATTTATAATATGGCTTTTAGTGTGAAAGCAATATACAATTGTCAAAATCACAATATTGTAATATAATTGATGTTGTAATACTAAGTTTCATCTATTGCACGGGAAAAACCTAGTAAGTTATAATAAAAAGACTACCGCTGGTTGTAGAACTGCAACACTTATACTTAATTAGACATGTAAACTTCATTATCCGCTCTATGTCTAAAATGAAATTGAAAACTACCAACTTTCTTGAAATTAATGACTATGAGTACGTCAACATTGTAATCTACTGCATCACACGGATAAAAAAACCAGTTAAGAACTAAATGAAAAGACCTTTTTGTCCTTTATCTCGCTCGACTGCTGCCACGTCTTGATCTGATCCCGATACCTCTGCAGCTTCTTGATCTCCTTCTTGAGATCCCCTTCAAACTTCTCCTTAAGGTTCGCATTGTCCGTTTCATAAACCTAACCAATTCAAATGCCAAATGATTACCAAAAGAGGAGAACAAATTCACAATTTACGAGGTGTTTACCAAAGATCCAAACCTTGTCCCAAATAGTGTCGAACTCCTGCACGCCCTCGTGGACCTTCTTCAAGACCCGATCGATCTCGGTCTGAAGCTTCCGACTCGCTCCCATGTCGAGTTGAAGGGATCGAGCATTCAAGGGATTTAGGGTTCTAGGGTTTTGTGGATCGGGAGAGCCTAGGGTTTTCCGAGTTTGAGAGGACGATAATTGAGGGATTAATGGGGGGAATTATGGAGGGGAATGGTATTTATAGAGCGATTGGCGGCAACCTTTGCTGCTGCTGGGTAAGCAGTGAATGCTTCGCACCGAAAATTTGAGATTGAGCCCTTTTCTCTCGACGAAATACGAATGGGATTTCGAGGGGGACGCTGGAAATTAATCGGGTCGGGTCGAAGGTCTATGTGAGCAGGATCCGGACCCGGAACTTCGCTTCAATTGAGTTGAATCTCTTCGATTAGGGTTGAGCAAACAATGGGTCTTATCTAGGGGTGTCCAAAAAGCCCGGAGCCCGGGCCCGGCCCGGTGTCCGGCCCGGGCCCGGCCCCGCCCGGTGCCGGAACATAAATTTTTTTAATTTTTTTAACATTTTTTTAATTTTCTTATATATAACATATATATATATGTGATATAATTGCTGTATATAATATAATATATATTATTATATATATATATCATATATTATATATATATATATATATTATAGAGAGAGAGAGAGAGAGAGAGAAATAATGGAGACTTTGTCAGCAAGATGCTTAAAGCAACTGTAGTGACTGTGGCCCTAAATCGTTGTCCGCTACATCCACCTCGAGATAGAGCCTCAACCATCCTTCACACAATCCAATAAATTTATTGGGAACAGATTAGGCCACTCACTACAAGTGTTTGGGAGTAACTTCGGTTACCAGCGGTCGGATTGTTTCTCCATTTTTCTCATATATATATATCATATTATTATATATATATATATATATATATATTATAATATTATATATATATATATAGTACTCTCTCTCTCTTAGTATAGTAAGTTATATTATACAGGTATATTCTCTTTATATTATATTATATATATATAATATATATATATATATATTAATATATATATATATATATTATATATGTTATAAGTATATATTCACGTATATACAGTGTATACTCTCTTATATAAGTATATATCAGTTATACATCTCTCTTATTATTTAATATCTCTTATATCATTATATATATATATATATATATATTTATATATATAACTACTATATATATATATATATATTATATATATATCATTTATATATATATATATATGATATATAATATATATACGAGTTATAATATATAGTATATGATAATATACTCTCTCTTATATATGTATAATATATGTATAAGTATATATAAGTATACTCTCTCTTATATATGTATAATATATGTGTGTATATATAAGTTTATATGTGTGTGTGTTTTTATGTATAATACAATTTGTTTATGTAATTACTATAAGTATTTACAATTTGTTTATGTATAATATATGTATATGTGTGTCAGTGTGTGTGTATATATATACATATACATATATTGAATGACATGAATACTTTGGGCTACTTAGTATATAAGTATATATAAATATAAGTATATTCTCTCTTATATATGTTTATATCTCTTATATAATTATATATATGTATAAGTATGCTCTCTCTTATATATGTGTACAGTGTATACTCTCTCTTATATATATATTTATATTCTCTCTCTCTTAGTATATAAGTATACTTATATATACACATATATAAACATAAACTTATATGTACATATATAAGTATATTTATATAATAGTATAAATACATATAAGAGTATAAATATATATTTATATATCTATACATATATATAATTATATAAACATAAACTTATATGTACATATAATATAATTATATTTATATAAGAGTATAAATATATATATACTATTATATAAATATAATTTTTATGTTTTATTATTTTTTAAAATTTTTAAAAAAATAAAAAAATAAAAAAATAAAAAAATCCGGGCCGGCCCGGTGTCCGGCCCGGTCGGGCCCGGGCCCGGGCCCGGGCCCGGGCTTGGGTTTTGCCCGGCCCGGGCCCGGTTTTCCGGGCCGGGCCGGGCCGGGCCGGCCCGGATGGACAGCCCTAGTCTTATCTATTATCTATATCTATATCTATATCTATATTTATACTTATACTTATACTTATACTTATACTTACTATATATAAAAGAGAATTGGGGTGTTAAAACTTTTGAATACCCTTTTTATCCCTCTTAAATTTGATAATTCCAACTTTATATATCTATGTATACACAATAGCATACATACATGTTACCACATTAATACACACCTCTTCGCTCATCCATTATCTCCACTAATCATATTTACTATCCTTATGACTAATCATGCATATAATTCTTCATCTCTTTAAATTCTTATAACGTAACCTTCCTTTTCTTTTCTATAAACATCTCATCAAACTACATCATCAATATTTAGGGGGATCAAACAACCTTAAATAATCTTTTACATGTGAAATGCAGTCAAGGAGGAAGAGGGGACTCATGATATCATCCTCTATTTCTGAGGTACAAATATGTTACGGATGCAAGTTGTTGACTTTTTTTATATATTATATTGTTTTATTTTTCTATGCTAATATCATGTGGACTAATATTGATATATGTGTTAAAAAGCAGTGACCCTTCTCTTACAATTCCATACATCTAATATGTTGTAATTAAACCTCTCCTCCTGTCTCTTTCTGACCTACCACAGTTTTGAGTTTTTAAGAGAATTTTTGTTCTGCCTTTTTGTGTATCTCATACTAATATCCATTACATGTGGTTAATAAGTAGTGACATTTCTCTTACAATTCCATACATCTAATATGTTGTAATTAAACCTCTCTCTCTCTCTCTCTCTCTCTCTCTCTCTCTCTCTCTCTCTCTCCTCTCTCTCTCTCTCTCTCTCTCTCTCTCTCTCTCTCTCTCTCTCTCTCTCTCTCTCTCTCTCCCCCCTGCTACAGTCTCTCTCTCTCTCTCTCTCCTGCTACAGTTTTGAGTTTTTAAGAGAATTTTTGTTATGCGTTTTTTTATGTATATCACACTAATATCCATTTCCTTTTATGATGATGGGTTGTGATTGCCAACGATTATTGTGATAATGTGATGGTAATTTGGAAAAAAAATTATCCAAGCTTCTGATTTGTACTTAATTTACTATTTAGTTGCCTAAATATATGTTGATATTTACAATCTATTTTCTCTTAGGTGAATATGTGAACGAACATGACACTCTTAGAAGTTCATTATCCAAATCTTCGCTAGCTTGAACCTGATCATAATCATTATCCAAATCTTCATTGGCTTGAACTTGATCCTAATCAAAACCTATACATCTTCAGATGACGGTTAGTACATGGAGGTAAGAGATAAGCAGAAGCGTATAGCCTAGAACTAAAGCACACGCACGAATACAAGTTCATATTAAGAATTGTAGCTAAATATTACTTTTCACTGCATTATATCATGGATAGAAATGGAAACAAAATTTGGATAAATAGATCATATACCATGTATACAAACAGTAAGCTATTCCCCTCTTGAGATTTAAATATTATATATGCAAACTAGCTAGCT